CCAAACCCCCAAACCCCTAAACCCGTGTCTGAGGCAACTTGGAAGCTGATTCGCCCTTCAGACGCCCGGCTCGTAGCGCCGGGAACTCTGCCGGCGGAAGGCAGCTGCTGTCTTTAGACCCCACCAACCCAGAGAACCCAATACCCNNTAATTAAGGAATGTACCTTAAATCACAAAAAAAAGGCTCTAGAATTTGAGGTATATTCCAGAATTAAGGTGTATTGGGTTCTCTGGGAAGACCATCCGGCTTCATCCACAGGATGCATCTGCAAATGCTTGTCATGTGGGTAGTTTTCTGAATAAGGGTCCCTTTTCAGGTCCCAAATATACTACGGCACCTTTATAAACAGGAGCCTAACAGGGACCCTAATTTAGAGAACTACCCATGTGGCCCATGTCTCAGGTGGGAAGTGCAAGATTCAGACCCCTGGCCACAACTGCAGGTCCCGTCGGAGGGCCCAGAGCTTTCGTGTTGTGGGTCCGGTTTCAGCTTTCTGTGTTCTACTCAGACTATACTTTACGATGTTATCGTGATATACTAGGCTCTACTATTCTATGTGATGACTTAGAGTCAAGAGTGTGTGCAGAGAAGCTCACTTTATCATGCGCTGCTTGTGACCGCCCCAAGCATCAATGATTTTGCGCGAAAATTTGTTCGCCGCAGTGCCCACTGCTTCCCTGTTACGGCTCGGTTTCTTCGAACTTTCCAGACTACCTAGGGTTTGTTACCATACTCTTCTGAACTACACTCGTCTCTGGCTGAGCTGCTCAGGAATGGAACCTACTTGCCGGCAGATGCCCGCCATCTCGTCCTGGTCGGCCGACCTGGTTTAGGGCTTTAGGGCTTGTAGAGTTGAGGGTTGAAGGTTTAGGGCTTGTAGGGTTTAGGGTGCATACGGCTTGGGGCTCAAGGCCTACAAGGTTTGTAGGGCTTCGGGGGTTTCAGCCTTTTACCCTTCTCTACGTAGACGCGCCGCACGGCATGCCAGGTTGCTTTGCCCACTGTTCCGGCGGCAGAGGCCGAGTTGCATGTAGCAGACAGGCACAAACCCTATAAAGCCCCAAAACACCCTAAAACGCTGACCCCTAAAAACAACCCTAAAGACGTTAAGCCCTTGTAAGCCCTAAACCAGAGTGTAAGCCTGAAGCCTGAACTCAGAAAACCTTAAAATGTTAAAGCCTACGATCCCCTAAAGCCTCTTGTAGCCCTTAGATAGGCCGTCAATCTTAAACATTGAGTGCTTCAAAAGGGGTACTTGGAGGTTCATGGGTAGTTATAAGTGGGGTTATAAGTCCCTAAAATGGCTTTAAATTATAGTTCCCCTACTTATAACCCTACTTATAACTACCCATGCACCTCCAAGTAGAACCCCGAGTGGTAGCAAAGCCCGGGAAGGATCTGCAAGGCGGCCTCTGCTCCGCTGGCATACCGGTGCCGAGCACAGAAGGGTTGAAATGGGTAGTTGTCAGAAATATGGTCCCTGTTGGGGTACCCTAAATAATAGGTGCCGTATTATAATAAGGACCCAAAAAGGGACCATAGTTTTGACAACCACCCAAATGGCACAAGGCTTTGCTTTGGAGTGTAGGGGTTGCTGTTGTCCCTGTACAGACATGTTTGGGGCTCAGGGTGTAGGATTTAGGGTTCTGGGGTTTAGGGTTTAGGGTGTAGGATTTAGGGTTTTGGGGCTGAAGAGGGATGAGGCGAAATCAAAGAGTCCTCGCTGGAGGCTGCAGCTGCAAGCGTGCTCGGCTCCCAGCGGTTCAAAGCCCAAAGCCCTAAAACCCTCCAGGTACCTACTATGCAGGGCCCTAGGGGGCTCTAGTACCCTCTATACTAGGGCCCTAGGGGGCTCTAGTCCCCTCTATGGTAGGCACCTAGGGGCTCTAGTACCCTCTATAGTAGGTACCTAGGGGCTCTAGTACCCTCTATAGTAGGTACCTGGAGGGTTACGGCTGCCCCGAAAGAAGGCTGCGTCAGTTGGTCTGCGACTAGGATGGACCGCTGGCGACCGGCGGTCGAAGAGATGGCTCTGGCCTTTGAGGCCTTCTTTTGGCAGCCTGTGTCATCAATTATTACCTATACTATTTTTTTTTTTT